AGTTTAAAACTATTTTTTATAATCACTTTCGTGTCCTCTATCCAACCATGCACAAAAAACGCAAAAAAAAAATTTCACTGTGATTTTGAGTTTTGGGCACCTTAATTTATAAGAGAAGTTGTAGGATTTTCGATGTTTCATGCTTCTTTGTTTTGTTGCAAACAGATATAAGGAGAAAGTATTTTTTTTCTTGTATATCTGCACTCCGAAATGTTACTCCGCATTGATTTTTTTGTTTGCCACTTTACTTCTGCGTGGTATATGCGATGACATCGGCAGAAATATTAACGATGAGAGAGATATATTGAACGCATAGCAATGGTCTGATGAATTCGATCTATGGTTGAGCGGGAAATCATTGACAAATTTTGAATTCGAAGAAACTGAAAATGATGAGGTGAAATTTTCCTACAACTTCTCTTATAAATTATACATAAGTCTGATATTTTCAGGATTGAAAGCTATTAGATAGATTTCTTTTTTTTGTTTATATCTTTATTGATTCTTTTTTTAATAAGGCCTGCGAAAAATCATTATAGGCCTAGCTTTGAACAATACTATAGTATGGAAAAAGTAAACTAAAATACAAGTTAATAACATGATGAACAATAGGGAAAAAGAAAATAGAAGTAAAATGAAGATGGGAAGTGATAGTGGCCCAGGTCAGACTGAGTGGTAGTGACTGACAGTTCTTTTGAAAAGGTGAAAAATAATAATAAAAGTGCTGCTAGTTTTCAAATCTCATCGTTCCACTTATATAGAAGTTAACCGCATTTAGAACAGTACACTGTGTGTCCTCATCCAATTGTAAATTATTTAGTAGAAAAGTGTCTAGTGTAATTTCATTTAAAAAATGTAACTTCTGTTTTAATAGATTTCTTTGATGATTATACAGTGAACAGTTGAAAAAATAGTGTACAATGTCCTCCCTCCCACCTCCACATCTGCACCAAGATGAATCGACACATTTCCGTTTGTATAGATAATGATTTAAGGGTGGAAAATCACTCTTAATACGCATAAATATTATTTCTCGCCTAGTGGCAAACTTTAAACATTTAGAAAATTTTCCAGTTGGAGTTACTTCATTTTTTAACATTTCTCTTATATTAGCAACCTTCATACTCAAAATTCTAGGATCTTTTAATACTAGTCTATTCCATTCTGCAGTTACTACTACAAAAAATTCTTTAGAAGTGTTACTAACTGTTTCTATAGTTGTATTCTGATTACTACGTAAATTATATCTTCCATTCGGTTGACGAACTTGTAATTACACAGACAAATAACCAGGAGTAAGTCCTTTCATGATTTTAGAAAATGTTAATAGTCGCACCTACAGTGGCAATTGCTGCTTTATATTGTACACTTTCTAATTTATTCAAGTTAGCCGCAGTAGTTAAGGAGTAAATAATACAACCATAGTTCAAAATTGATAATACACATGATTTATAGATAATTTCTAGTGCGTTTCTAGATAATACATGTTTATAATATTTCATCAGTCCTACCATCGAGGATGTTTTAAAATAAACTTTATTTATATGAGTCGTCCATGTTAATTCATTAGTAAACATTAAACCTAAATACCTTACTTCTTTCTTTTCTTCTATTGGGGAATTATACAGAAGAAGTGGTGGAAGAGAAGAAACATTTTTCCGATTTTGTCTCGTAGAAAATGTTATATCCCCCCGGAAAAAAATAGTTTTGCCTTGTATTTCAAATTTATTGTCACTATAAAATATATTTTTTTAAAACCAATTATATATTCTGAAAGCCTGTGGAGTTCTCTATCACCCTATATAATTAGGTTTCAATTTATACCTATTCATTACCAAGAAAATTTGAATACAAGGAAGGCACCCTCATGTCCAGATTCCCACAGAATAGATTCTGTCTCCTCAACTAGTCTTTTTAACTTTTCATCACTATAGAATTACCTTTTTAAAAAAGTAATTATATATTCTGATAGAGCTAGAAATTCTCTATCACTCCATGTATTTATTTATTACCTTGCATTTATTTGCTGAAAAATAATTTGAGCACAGTGAACGTACCCTCAATTAAAAAGTATAAAAAATGCGCATTTTTTCACTACTTTTTTAGTTTTTCTCAAATTATTATTCCTATAGGAACAATCTTTTAAAAGAAATTATACATTCTGATGGCGCTTGAAATTATCTATCATCCTATATATTAATATATTCTCTTGAATTTAAGTAGCGAAAAACATACGGATTATTGGTACTTGTCAATTGAGGGTGCGTTCCCTGTACTCAAATTATTTTTTCAACAAATAAATACAAGGCAATAGATAAATATATGGACTGATAGAGAATTTCAAGCTCTATCAGAATATATAATTACTTTTTTAAAAGGTAATTCTATAGTGATAAAAATTTTAAAAAACTAATTTTAATGACAGCGACAAAATCTATTCTGTGAGAATCTGGACATGAGGGTGCCTTCATTGTATTCAAATTTTCTTGGTAATGAATAGGTATAAATTGAAACCTAATTATATAGGGTGATAGAAAACTCCACAAGCTTTCAGAATATGTAATTGGTTTTTAAAAAATATTTTTTTATAGTGACAATAAATTTGAAATACAAGGCAAAACTATTTTTTTCCGGGGGGATAGATTCGCATTTCAAGGGATTTAACGGTAAATACCATTTTTCTGACCAATCCTGAATCTTGACTAAATCTTTATTTAATATCTGCGTACAAATTATCGGATCAGGGTGGTGATTTAGTGAAATTAAGTCATCAGCAAACAGCTTTACAGTACTTTTAATGTTAGAAGGCAGATCATCAATATAAATAAGAAAAAGGAGAGGTCCCAGGATGGAACTGGCACTCCTTTCGTTACAGATCGTTTAGAAGAGATACATCCATCTAACACAGTTTGGATAGTTCTATCTTTTAAATAATCTTCGATCCACTGTAATGCACGACCTCGGTGCACGACCCCAGTGCACGACCTTTTTTATATATTTTTAGTAGAAAACACTGGTGATTCACATTATCAAACGCTTTTCTAAAATCTAAAAGCGCACTGCGTACCACTTTATCTTCTATCATACCTGAATTTATTTTATTCACCACATCTAAGAGCAAATAAGTAGTACTATCCTTAGCTATGAATCCTGATTGACAATCGGAAAGAAGTTTATTCTTAATAAAGTGCCTATATAGTTGTCTATGAACTAGACGCTCTGGTACTTTAGATAAAACTTTAAGCAAAGTTATAGGTGGATAATAAATCACCACTTTTATACAGTGGATTTACCTCCATTTTTTCATATTTCAGGAAAAACTGAGGTCTCAAAAGACTCATAGATTAATTTACAAACAGATTTAACAATAGACGGTGCCATATTTTTAATCATACGATTAGTAATTTCCGGCGCACATGCACGATTGTGATCCAAACTACGTAAGATCTTTTCTACCTCAGGTTGCACTACTGTAAATTTATTAATTGAAACTTTGGATTCAGGTAAACAGTCAGCTATTTTTGAATCAATTATTGGCCCTCTCCACGTACAAACTTCAGCAAAATATTCATTTAAAGTTTCAATCTTTTCACGTGTATCGACCACTATTTTATTCATACTGTTTAATAATGCTGGAATAACAGTCGTACGTGTTCTACCTAATGTATTTTTGACTAAGCTCCACCAATTCTTTGAAGAAGCACACACTCTTGAATTTATCTTTTTATAGTAATCTTCTTTGGTAGTAATACAAGCTGCCTTAAACTCTTCTGCTGCTTTTTCGTACTGCTGAAAATGATAGTTAGAGTTTTTACTTTTACGATAGAGTTTACATTTCTTTTTATACAAAATTCTTAACTTATCGTTGAACCGCACTTTATCGCGTGGTTCTATACAAATTTTCTTGTTAGGTACATAGTACTGTATATGCTCTAATAATATCTGCTCGAAAGCTGTAACTCTTTCATTCCAGATTATTGTAATTCTTTAAAAGCTGATGTATAGGTATTTCATTGAAACGCTCATTCACTTTCTCCCAGTCAACTGCGTTATAATCGTAAACTGTACGTTTTATTTTCTCTTTTGAAGATAGTATTTGAATTTTAAACTCAATAAAGTTATGATCACTTCGGTCCAAAGGTGGTCGTACAGCTATATCAGGTACAAATGAAGTACTTTCTACAATAATTAAATCTAAACAAGTACCAGAAACATTTGTTGTCACTCCTCGAACTAACTGATACAAATTCTCTTCCTCAAGAAATTCATAGAATACCTCTCCTGCTTTAGTAGATTTCACATTGTTGTTAGACCACAATCGTGTAAACATTCTGTTGGATTAGCAATTTTATTTAACTTGTATCAAGTTAGCGATAAAACACGTATTCAACCATTAGGCAAACGAAAAGCAAAAGGGCGTCCCAAGAAAGTTAGCACAGCTTGAAATTTTTTAAATGGATATAAATAAAACGGTAAAAAATATTGTTCGTTTGGTTAAAATCTCAATGAATATGTTTGTGTTGTACATTGTACTTTGTTGAGAAATAAAAATGTGCGATGCATGCTGAAAAAGTTCGTGATCAAAAGTATCCTTTTTTGGTGATCATTTGTATCTTAAGCTGTTTGGGGATCAAAAGTATCTTTATTTGGTGATCTTTTGTATCTAAATATGTTTGGTGATCAAAAGTATCTTTATTTGGTGATCTTTTGTATCTAAATAATATCTAAATAGAGAAGCCAGTCTCGAGATTTTTACACAGTCGGAATCAGTGCAAACGACTTGCGTTGTACAGCGCAAAGATCTCGCCGGGATACCCGAGTACTTTGGATTCGGATTCTCCACTGTGGGTTTTCGCAGTAAATTACACTATGTTCAACGGTAGACAGCACAGATTCCGCTTTTCTGCCGTTCTTTTTTATGTCATTTTGCTTTGTTCAGATGTTTTTTTCTTTCTATGCACAGTATAGAGAGAGATGTAAAGCAGAAATCGAAGAAAAGAACAAATTTTATCGTTTTATCGAAAAGAGAAATTGCACTCACTATAAAATTACTGTTTGTTCTGACAACTTCCCAGATTAAAAAGTTAGCAAATTTGAAGGCTCCAGTTTTTCTGGCAGTTTGAAGTACACCAGTTGTACTCTATGCCAAGCTATTTTTTAGAAAAAGGTACCGTTTAGTTTTTGTAAAGCTACCTATATCACAGTTGAACGCATGAAAAGGTAGGTATCGACGTCAATATAAAACCCAAATGAGTTTTCAGAGTACTTTCTGAACTACTATGACTTTCCGGCTTTCTCTTCGAGCCATGGTAGTGGGAGGTAATGTGTGTAAAACAGAAATGAAAATAGTTAAAGGCTGCTATTATCCATAGTCAGTATCTTCTCAAAAACAGAGCTCTTAATAATCAATGAATAAGAGTGTCAAATGATGAATAATAACTACTCATCAATTACCGTTATATTCATCACTGCGATTGTATAATGAAACATTCATACTTATATAATCCACGTACTATTCAGTTACATGAAACTTCGATGTTTTTTCCCTTCCATGTACACCATAGAGAGAGATATAAAGCAAGAAACAGAGAAAACAACAGATTCTATCGTTTTATCCAAAAGAAAGATTGCACTCACTATGAAATTAGTGTAGTTTCATGGAACACAGAATTTGAAGAACATTTTACATATGCGGGAGATTTCTGGTGGAAGTACCCTCTGACAACTTCCCATATTAAAAAGTTAACAAATCTGAAGGTACCCCTCTCCAGTTTTCTGGCATTTTGAAGTACACCAATTGTAGTCTGAGCCAAGCTATTTTTTCGGAAAAGACAAGCTGTGCCCAGTAAATCGCTAACACTCCATCTAACTATCACGACCCGAAGAGAAAGCTGGAAAGTCACCGTGGTCAAAAGGAGTGCATCGCGATATAAAAGAAGAAAGTATGATTTTTTAAACGTTAATCATGAATATTGAGAGCTACGTATCTCAGAAACTCATGTTCTCTATCCAACGGTGAAAACCGCATGTCTTTATCACTTTTCGTTCAAATGTGATAAGCATTCTGCCGAGCAGCCTCGTTTTCAGGAAAGGATAATATATCAAACATAAATATATCAGCCTAAAGAGTGGAATAGAGGAATGATCAGAATATATTTTGAAACGCTTCCTTAGTCTTCAATCCAGCTGATACATTTTGCAAACTTATACGAAACTGATTAAGAGCTTATCAATAATCTTGCATACTTGTATTCTACCGGAATGAAATGCTTTCACTTTAGCTCTCTAATTATTTTGCTTTTAAATTCCTCATATGAAATTTACTTGATACTTACTGGTTAGTGTTATACACAGAGAACAAGACAAACTATAGCTAGTAAATCGCTAACACTCCATCTAACTATCACGACCCGAAGAGAAAGCCGGAAAGTCACGGTGGTCAAAAGGAGTGTATCTAACTCCCGAATATAAAAGAACAAAGTATGATTTTTTAAACGTTAACCATGAATATTGAGAGCTACGTATCTCAGAAACTAAAAAACAGATCAATATAATTTGGTGCAGCGCGGCACAAGTGCCTAATTTTCTACTGCTAAAAAGTAAAAGTTTCAATGACAAATATTTCTAAACATTACGCGAACTGAGACTAATATTGCTTCAAAGTTCAAAAACTTAAATGAAATGACATCTAGTATGAAAACAGCTGTAGACAAACAAACGTCGGATTCGTGATCAGCATCCAAAATTACCTTAGAAAAGCTATGTTTAAACAGAAAAGCTTTTAGTCACGTGGGTAGATTGCCTCATAAAGAGAAAATTTCTTTTAAATTTGGATGAAAACTGGCCTTGTGACGAATAATAGATGGAACTACCGAATGTCTATTATATCATTTACTAACATTTGCTAAGAGAGAAAAAGAAAGACATATTCCTTACGGTTCTATGAGTTATGAACCATAGACTGAACTCGTATTTTCATATCTTAAGTTAATTTTTGAAGTTACTGTAATACTAGAGCAAAAGAGAGCATTTAAGCATTGTTCCCTTTAGTTTATCTTTAAGCGAAAGCGTCCAGAAAGATAGAATATTGGCAACTACACCGTGCCTCTCATATGTTTAGTAACTGTTCCCGCGATATCCTTTCGCCACGGTTCCGTCAACTGATTTAAAACTTGTACATGTACATACAATGTACCAGAAACATTTGTTGTCACTCCTCGAACTAACTGATACAAATTCTCTTCCTCAAGAAATTCATAGAATACCTCTTCTGCTTTAGTAGATTTCACATTGTTGTTAGACCACAATCGTGTAAACATTCTGTTGGATTAGCAATTTTATTTAACTTGTATCAAGTTAGCGATAAAACACGTATTCAACCATTAGGCAAACGAAAAGCAAAAGGGCGTCCCAAGAAAGTTAGCACAGCTTGAAATTTTTTAAATGGATATAAATAAAACGGTAAAAAATATTGTTCGTTTGGTTAAAATCTCAATGAATATGTTTGTGTTGTACATTGTACTTTGTTGAGAAATAAAAATGTGCGATGCATGCTGAAAAAGTTCGTGATCAAAAGTATCCTTTTTTGGTGATCATTTGTATCTTAAGCTGTTTGGGGATCAAAAGTATCTTTATTTGGTGATCTTTTGTATCTAAATATGTTTGGTGATCAAAAGTACATTGACTCTTTTTATAGTACTTAGAAGGGGTGAATCGTTTCAAGCTTAATACTATGACATTCAACACCGAAAAGGATTTGCGCATTAGACCAGTGATGTATCAAAATTTTGCATATATTATCAGAATTGGGCTAAAGCGGTCCACCGAAAAGGCCTAATTACATCCACAGCCGAAAGACGCTTGTTTTCGGTTTAGCATGAATATAGTCTTCGGTGAGAGATATTGAATTTCAGACTAATGTTCAGCAGATGTCGGTGTATCGTGAGTGTATCAAATAAAATTGCAAAACATTATGAGCCAAAGATTGCTGGCGTACAGCGCCTCCTATCAAAATAGCATAAAAAAAGAAGATAAAGTCATACCGTACATTCAAATCAACATGGTGGAAAACGACGGCTTTTCCTGCTTCTATAGTGCTCTCTAAAAGAGAAGGTATCCTACAAACCCAAAAGAAGGGTATCTCGGTCCAGGGAAAGCAAACTTGGTTCTTAGTGGTTTCAAATTCAGATACCCTCCTTTACTTGGTTCTGTGGAATTCGAAATATTTTTATCCTTATTTAAAAGCACTAAAAAGGTACTGTGAGATACCAGATCGATATTTTACAATTCGGATAAGGGTCTTTGTAAGTCCGCAGAACCAAGAAAATGAGGATAGCTGCATTTGAAACTAATATGAACCGAGGCTGGTTTCCCCGGACCGAGATACCCTTTTTTTGGGTTTGTAGGATACCTTTTTGTAGAGAGTACTATCGCCCATTAAGGCAATTTCCGTTTATACTGATTTTACACACGACAGATGCACTCTATGTGGCACTACAGAAGAAATTATTAATACATACTATTTTTAACCTTTTCTGTTGATGGAACAAGAATAGAATATAGAAGGGCTTTCAACTTTTTCCATATCGTTACCCAAGCAAAACCTACCCAGCAAAATATCTAGATGCATTCGCTGGTGCATCTAGCGGAGCATCTAGAGAAATGAGTAAAAAAAATCTAGTTATCTAGATGCATCGAGCGATACTAGCTGCTTTTTTCGTGCTTGGGTAACTCTGATGCTCAAGCAGAAAAAACGACATATCAAAACTTGATGGTTCTTTTCTAGAGAAGCGAGTCTCGAGATTTTTACATATTCGGAATCAGCGCAACGAGTTACGTTGTACGGCGCAAAGATCTCGTCGGGGTACCCGCGTTTTTTGGACTCGGATTCTCCACTGTGGGTTTTCACGGTATATTACACTATATTCAACGGTAGACATCAAAGATTCCGCTTTTCTACTGTTTTCTTTTATGTCATTTTTCTTTCCTTTGATGCTTTTTTCTTTCTATGTACACTATAGAGAGAGATATACAGCAAGAAATGGAGAAAAGAACAAATTTTATCGTTTTATCGAAAAGAAAGTTTGCACTCACTATGAAATTAGTGTATATTCTGGCAACTTCCCAGATTAAAAAGTTAACAAATTTGGAGGTACCCCTCTCCAGTTTTTGTGGCAGTTTGAAGTACACAACTTGTACTCTATGCCAAGCTATTTTTTAGACAAAGGTACCGTTTAGTTTTTGAGATACAGAGCTGTCAATGCATCTTCTGTGTGCATATAGAAATAGATATAAAGCAAGAAACGAAGAAAAGAACAAATTTTATCGTTT